CAGATTCGACCGCGACAGGGGTGCGGCAGACCAACAATGAATTTATATTTTTCTTCAAACACACCTACCTACGCAATTGCCGGTGTATGGCCGCCTGAAAGCTTTGGGCGGTGTGGTGGCTGTTTCGGTGCTTTACAGCCGCGTGGCCCTCCCTACCATGAGCCGGTGTTGGTATTTTATGGTCGACTCCCTTCTATGAATGTTTTGGAATTTTCCCTCCCGCTCAGTGAATTTTGTCACCCCATCTCACCCCCATAAAGTACTTTCTTCGGTGTTCATGGTTAATTCAGTATTTTATTACAATCTATGTGATACTAATAAAGGCCATGGGATTGATGCATTGCAGTTCACTTTAGCTCCATAGGCCAATTTATTACATTTGCTTTAAAAAAAACCCACCCCTACCTATACTCGAGTATTTGGGAGGAATATGTTACTAATGGTGACAAACAATATCAAAAACAAAAACTGCGCCGCTCAATACACCCTACACAAAATCCTTTTTTTTTTTTTCTTACATATATATATATATATATACTAGCAGGTCTTGCCCGTCTTTGCTGGGCTAAGTAAAATGTGCTTATAATTATAAGTTTAATTACTATATGATATTCTTCTTTCGACGCTCTCAAAAGTTTTTTAAAGAGTTCATTTTCCAAGTAGCAAATATAGTACAATATGTACTATGTATGGTTATACGTACATACATACATATCTTCGTTACGCACCGGGCGGAATGCCAGTCCTGACTTAACTGTGTGCTTCCTCAGCACGTTGTACGCACGGTCGAGTTATCCCCGAAAAGTTCGACGCGGGACATTTAATTTTGATTTATAAATCGGGACGTCCCGCCAAAATTGGAGCGTTCGGCAACGCTGATATGTACATACATTTAAATTTTTCATGCAGGCGTTATCCGCCTATATACATACATACATACATACATATATAAGTATGTATTAAATTTTTTAATTCAACACTAATTTGTGTCTTCAATTCCAAATATGATTGTGAATGTAAAAGGTGTGTTTCTGCTTTTGTAAATCGCATGAATAATTTCAGAAAATAGGCTTAACGATAAATGACTCTTAGATTTGTTGAGAATACATTTGTAGCGTTGTTAGCTAACACTAAAACGGTAAGTTGCTGTAAATATTCGATCAGCTGAGATGCTAGAGATGGGTATGTGTCGGATGCTCTATGAGCTAGAGCATCAAAACTATCGATAGTTGAATCCGTCGATACAATCAATAATTCCATCGAAGTTTGAATGCAATTAACAGAAAATTTAAATAATAATATCTTATAATTTATTGAGATCAATTAGAACAAATCATATACAAACATACATATGTACATCTGCCCGCAACGCGAAGCCGAATATGCGTAGGTCCGCTTTCGGTTTCTGCTTTACTATCGCTTTCGCAGTCGTTGCCTAGCGACAGTAACTGTAAACCATTGGCATTTTGTGCTCGCACAGTGCTCGATTGTCCAATGTATACATATGTACATACACACATACATACATACGAATGTACATACATGCTATATATGTATGTACTTTTTCAACCGTACGTAGAGAACCGCACACATAGACACGAACTGTTGCTTGTTCTGTGTGTGTGTGTATATGATGTCCCCAACTATTTGATATTTGCGTTCTTTGTAATTTGTATGTGTAATTTGTAATTTGTGTGTATGTATACTTAGTTGTCCCCAACTGTTTGATATTTTGTATTGTTTGTTCTGCCTGCATTTGTAGAATGTATATTTTGAAAATCCTTGAACGCAAAGTTGTAGATTTAGTTAAGTAGATTACATTACCCAAATTCACATTCTTTTATAGATTACAAGACTAGAAGGTATTGCCCGTCTTAACCCGGCTCAATATGTTTCCAATTGTATTTATTTTGTGTGTGCATAACCTACCCATATGTTTTCACCTTATAAGTTACCAGTAGGAAGGCATTTAAGGTATTTAAATGAACATTTTCTGTTCTTGACAAAAAATTGTTCAGTAGTCCGTTACATTTTTGTTCTTGACAAACTATTTCGTTAAACGAACATGACCACTATAACTAATATTTTTTAAAGCTCGTTTTCCCCCCGTTGGAGCTAGAATTTTCCAAAAGCCTTTCTTAGTGTGCTCCTACACTATGATGGATACTATGAAACGATACTTGAGTCCAAATTTAAATTCACATTTGAGTCTTTTCGTGCCATATTGAGTCAATACGGCCACGCACAAACTCGGAATATGAAACACGGCACTCGTGTCAATGCCGTGCAGCGATGAGCCACGATCAAAAACTACTGGCACCGATACCATCAAAATATCGCAGTTTGAATGCAATAAGCAGAATATTTAAATAATGAAATCGAATTATTTATTGAGATCAATAAGAACAAATCATATACATACATACATCTGTCCGCAATGCGAAGCAGAATATGCGTAGCTCCGTTATTCGGTTTCTGCTTTACTATCGCTTACGCAGTCGTTGCCTAGCGACGGTAACTGTAAACTTTTGGCTTTGTGCCTTTGCAATTAACATTAAATGGTCACAACGAAAGATGAAGAGCGAGCTAATGACTTGCAGTTGTTGTTGTTTTTAGAGCATGATTTTTTTTTACAATCAAACATGTATACATTAATACGAATGTACATACATGCTATATTCATACACAGGCATACATATGTATGTATGTTTCTTTTTACTTTTTCAACCGCACGTAGAGAACCGCTCACATAGACACGAACTGTTGCTTGTTGTGTGTGTGAGTGTGTGTATGTGATGTCCCCAACTATTTGATATTTGTTGTTGCTGCATAAAGCTATTAATGAAAACCCTAATGCCAAATGCACTAAACAAAGAAAAAATTACTTTTAAAAATGTTATATTATATAATTTTCAATTAATTAACATTTCTTGCTCTGTCAGTGCAAGACGAATGTACATTCATACATATGTACATACATAGATGTGCACATATGTATCTATGGACATTCACACATTAGTGTCTCACATTTTGATTTGGCTATTTCAATCGTTTGCACGCAACTACACGAACAGCTGATTGCATATATGTGTGTGTGTGTTGCTACTTAGTTGTCCCCAACTGTTTGATATTTTGTATTGTTTGTTCTCCCTGCTTTTGTAAAATGCATATTTTGAAAATCCTTGAATGCAAAGTTGTAGATTTAGTTACGTAGATTACATTGTCCAAATTTTAAATCGATCGGACTAAATTTATAACACAAACTTTTCATTTGAAATAGTGAATAAATATTAAAACCCCAATAATTCAAGCTCCAACACAAAAAATCCGAGTATGCAGTTTTGTTTGTATTCTTTAATTGATTTTAGAAACTAAGTTTTAAGTCGATCGGTTGAAAAATGCGGAGTTTTCAAACAAACTTTGGAGCTACTTTTCCCCCCTTTGGAGCTCGAATTTTCCAAAATCCCTTCTTAGTGCTCATCTACACCATGATAGGATACTTGAGTCCAAATTCCTAGCTTTTACCGTTTGGGCTGTGCGTTGATCATCAATCAGTCAGTCAGTCAGTCAGGACAAACTGTTTTATATATATGTATAGATAGTGGTCATCTGTGTGTACGTTTAACGAAATATGTTGGCAAGAACAAAAATGTAACGGAATACTGAAGAATTTTATGTCAAGAACAGGAAATGTTCATTTAAATACCTTAAATGCCTTCCTACTGGTAATTAATAAGGTGAAAATATATGGGTAGGTCATGCACACATAAAAGAAATACAATTTGAAACATTAGATTGTTAATGGGGACAATACCTGCTAGTAATAAAATAAAACAAGATAGAACGCTACAGTCGAAAATCTTGAATAGGGGGGGAGTAGGGGGGCGCATCGGGAAAAATGAACAAACTCGTCCTTTCTTGGGCTCAGGAGAATCTGTATACCAAGTTTGGTTATTCTAGCTCTTATACTTTCGGAGATCCTTGCGTTCACACAGACTAATATACCCTTATACCCTTTGGGTACAGGGTATAAGAAATATTTAAAATAATTTAATTCATTTAATTAATTAAAATTAATAAATATAAAACATTCAACACATGCATACATACATAAGTGTTTATGTACAATTTCAATAGAATAAATTTACATCAGAATCGTGTCTTTGCGTGTTTATATGCGTGTATGTATGCAGCACAAAGTTGAACCAAAGCAGCAACAACAAGAGAGAACGCTACAGTCGAGCAAGCCCGACAGTGTAATACCCTGTACCCAGGTAAACTTCCGTCACTGAGTTACATGCGCCCAAAAAAAGGAAGAAGAAGAGCGAACTTGTTGCTGCAGTTTGTTGGGGTTGTACTGTAGAAAATTTGTTTCGCTAATAATTAAATAAAATTTTAAACAACAGTAGATAATTACGTATAAATTATGTGTGCAAAGTTTGGTTTAGGTAGCATTTGAAATGTGGACGCTATTTACGAAATTCTGTAATATACCCTTTTTACCCTACGGGTACAGGGTATAAAAACAGCTGCTATATCAGAAAAAAATCACAAACTCGTCCTTTCTCTGATTTAGGAGAATCTGGATACCAAGTTCGGTTATTCTAGCTCTTGTACTTGCTGAGATCCTTGCGTTCATACAGACGGACGGACGGACATGGCTATATCGACTCGACTTGTCATCCTGATCAATAATATATACTTTGTGGGGTCTGCCACGCCTCCTTCTGTATGTTACATACATTCGCACAAAACTAGTATAGCCTTTTACCATTTGGGTACAGGCTATAAAAAGTGTGTCATTAAAAATGTATTCCCTAAACGGATTGGCTGGATCCATTACATTTGTCATAGGGCCGTACAAATACGGTTCACTCTTATTCATTACCTTTATTCTAAACAAAAACTGACATAAATACAATGAAATTATACAATTGTACATTAGAATATACATTGTAGTTGTAAATTATAGTTAATTCTATAAATAAAAGCATAAATTTTTATATATATAATTATTATGTAGACTTTTGTAATGTAAATGCAATATTACTATAAAAAATGTCACGCTTAATAATGCAATGTACTTTCATTATCTTGACTCTTAAATGTGGATTTATTTGTAATGCGTTTAAGTATTGTACATTTTCAACATGAAGTTTCTAGCAGTGTATCAGCCTTAGTCTGTGTTTCATAGATCTTGGGATTCCTCTCAGGAGCAGATATTTTAAGGGTATGTGTTGAACGATCAATGTTTTTTTTCATATCTATGGTAGGTACATCGGGGGTATTTTTTCTTTTAGTTTTCTGTAAAAGTGCAGTTTCTTGCACTAAATGTATATTCTTTTGCTGCCTCTGACCGCCCGTTATATTTCCAATATTGCTTACGTTGCAGTCGCTTAATGAAAATTTTATATTGTCACCTAGGGAACTTTGACGCATTTCCTCGGCCAACTGATGTATGTTTAAATGCAGCTCTTTTTTGGATTGGTTTGATACTGAAGATAAGCTGTGCCTTGTTGATATGTTGGTACTGCAAACATTAAGAAAGTTGCGGTTGAGTAATTCAACTTGAGCTACTGAATTGACTCTATCATTCCGTTTAAGCTGATGTATTGGAGAATATATTTTGCGGTAATCTTCAAATGGATTAATGAAGTCTTTTCCTCTTGCAGGCGAAAAGCTTGCCGACTTTGTTGAATTATAAAGATGAGTTTTTTGATCTGACCCTTTGGATTCAGCCGTAGAAAACATATCATCGAGAGCAGAATTAAAATTAGGCGAAGATGGGGCGGAAAGCAATGAGTAATCTACGGCAGAAAGATCCTCATTTCCAAATGGAGTAACGTATTGGTGCATTTGAGGTCTTATATTATTTGTTTTTTTATTATTCGCAGTTGAAGTCTCATGTCTTGTGGATGACCTCGGCTGTTTATGACAACATTGGTTTGCCTTTGGAGAAATTGATGCATCTGAAAAATAATCAAGGTGGCGCTTAACCCAGGGATCATAACTATCAGTGGTTTTGGAATATTTAGCTATTTTTGTTGGCTCATTTTTTTTTAACCATGGGTCTGATAAATCATTCATTAGGCAACCAGTACTTTTATTATTTTTTTTGAAATAAAATTTGGAAGTCATTGCATCAAAATAGTTTGGTGAAGTTTGCTCAGATTTACAAGCTTTTCGTTCATTAGAGTAATACGTTTGATTGTCTTGAGCCGTGGAAAAGTTGGTTAGGTATAGAAGTTTGCCAGAGTCCACGGTACCGACTTTATTAAGGTCAGCTAAAGTGATAGCTTCCTGGTAGCGAATACGAGGATATGGAGAAAGAAAGTTTCCAACTGACGATTGTGATGTAACGGCGAGCTTATCGACAGTGCGATTGGTACTACGTACGTTATTCAATGCCGTTTCCACACCATCTGTAGCACTTGTTGCCGCATTAAGAGTAGGTGGCAGTCGTTTCGAAATGATATCATCACATTTTATATTCGATTTATAATCACTAATTTGATTAACATCGTCACATGTGTATATATTTGATGAAGTGCGTTCAACTTCATTTTGTATGAAATTAAAGTTGGATTTGTTGGAACCTGTTTTGTCAATACTAAACAGGTGTTGAGATTTCGAATTTAATTCGGGCACCCTATTTTCGATATATCTTCCAGAAAGCTTAATGTGCTGCTTATTTTGGTATGAGTATGGATAAAGAGGAGAATGAGGGGAATGTAGTGGAAGAGTGGGCGCTGTGCTTTGCCGATGTAGTTGTCCGATCGCTATTCGTCCATCTACTATCGTATTATTTCTTATAAAACGAGATGAACAAATGGGAAAAAAGTTTCCCTTTTCTCTTGTTTGTTTCTCAAATCCATTTTCACATTCAGACGAGGCAATTACTATTTTTCGCAAGTTAGCTTGGGTTCCAATAGAAGAACCCATTTTTTTATGCTAAATGAACTTCCCTGATAGACCGTTTACAGATGAGGAGCTTGAGATAGAAACACCTGTAAAGAAAACAACATAAAATAAGTAAGATAAGCAACAATTTTAACAAAAACAAGAAGCCGACCTAAAACAATTCTAACACAAAACATGTAGGGAAGCTAAAGTCGGGTGGACCAACTTTAAAATACTCTCTACGTATGTTTGGAAAATTTTATAAAAATTAAAAAAATTTAGAAAATTAAAAAAAAAATGCTGATCGATTTTACCTCTCTCGGTATTCCAACTCACGCATTTGCTTTGGTTGACTGCAAACAAGCTCGCACAGACACGAATAGACGCGCATAAACATACATATACTCACATAGACGCAAATGCTATGTACATATGCAATTATACACCCTTTACGTGAGTTCGAATACCAAAAGAGGTAAAATCAATCAAAAAATTTTTTTTAATTCTCTTACTTTTTTTAATATCTATAATTATTCTAATTATATGTACATAGTATTTCAAAATCGGGACACCCGACCTTAGCTTTTTTACTTGTTGTACGGTATATTTTTGCAAATATTCTTCTCTCTCTGTGACAAATTACAAGTTCCGGAAAAGAGCCGTTATTTGTTTTTTTCCACTTTCTGATAGCATTTACTGGAATTTACACTGAATTATTGTGCCACTTGAATAGGACATGCATTTAGTTTGATTGTAATCTTTGGCACATGGGCTCATATTTTTCGTTCATCGCACTTTTATGTTAATTTCGACGATTTAATTTAAAAAAAACATAAAATGGGTTGAGGAAAAGCCTTAACTGAGGTTGAAAAAGGACAAATCAAAGCTGACAAGGACGCTGGGCTATCTATGTATTGCCAAAACAGCTAAGAAAATCGAGAGGAGCCGAAACGTTGTTTCCAAATTTTGGAGTAATGAGTCCAAATATGGGAAAAACATGAAAGGCCGCACAAACAGTGTGCTTATTAATACAGAAAAGCGACTTATTTTACGACAAGCGTCAAATTCTCACGAATACTTAGCGAAAATCAGGGAAAAATGTGGTATCAAGGCAAGTCGTACAACAATGCAACGTGTTATTTCGAATATAATAAAAAGACTAAAAATTAAGAAGAAGCCACCCCTTAACCCGGTTCGAAAGCGGCAAGTCTCAATTTTTGTCGAACGCATGTGACCTCGAATTTGGAATGGCATCGCGTGGTTTTCTCAGACGAAAAAAAAAATTAATTTGGAAGGCCCCGATGGCTATAGCTATTATTTTCATAGCCTCCGAAAAGAAACCTATCATTTGGACCGACTGCACACCAAAGGTGGAGGTGTGATGGTGTGGGGAGCCATTTCGTATTACGGCACGTGCAAGTTGAAATTTTTGTCAACCACAATGAATGCGTTGTCTTACAATGGTGTATTAAAAGAGGCATTTCCATACTTTCAAGATCTTTTTGGACCTCTGCCGTGCATTTATCAACATGATAATGCGCCAATACACACAGCCAAGGTTGTTAAAACTGTTAAAACTATAAAGACACAAAAAGTGGAGCTATTAAGCTGGCCGCCATACTCACCGGATTTGAATATCATCGAAAATGTTTGGGGATGGTTGACACGTCAAGTATATGAATCTGGACAATATATAGGTGTACCCGAACTAACCAAAGCGATCGAATTAGCTTGGATCTCGATTTCGCTCAGTTATTTGTCCAATTTATACGCATCCCTTCCAAACCGGATATGTGAAGTTATGAAGCAGAAAGGTGGCTCAACACACTGTTAAACAAATATTTTTAAGTCTTAAATACTCCAATTACTTTAAATTAAGTCAATTTTGGTGTTAAAAAGAATCGGAATTCTCAAAAATGTTTTTTTTTGTTAAAGTGTCCTATTCAAATGGCACAAAATTCGGGCCCCACATTTTGTCGGTTTTTCATTAGTAATTTTTTGTTAGTACTTACAATTGTATCATTAAATCCAAAATTTTCGTTAATTTACAACAGTAAAATTAACTATAATTAAAAGAAAAAAATAGGTCTCTAGCATGCATGGCTTGGGAGCAGAGGGCGATAGGGGTGTCCTATTCAAATGGCGAGGAGTGTATATGTGTGAAATTACATAATTATGTCAAAGCAGCAACAACAGCTGCGGGAAGAGCTTCGGCATAGAATATATTTATGGCTATCACTTGCTCCTTCATAATTGACCTATCATGATAAAACTTGGCATCCGTACACACAATCACTAACTAGATGTGACTAAATTCGAAGAATTAACTAGTATACCCTTTTACCCTTTGGGTACAGGGTATAAAAATAGAGTTCTATGGGCATTTTACAAATATATTATAAACTAATACTAACCATCGTTTTCTCCTGTTTTTTTAAGTGACTCAGTATTTTTATTTTTTGATTCTTGCCCTTTTGGTGTTGAAGCGGTCGGAGGTATTGCGTTAAATGCCGTACTGGCAGGGACAGAATTTGAATTAGTTGCTCCCGCCGATGTGTTGCTACTAACTCCTCCTTCATTTGCGTTCCTTAGTTGTCATTTGATTAATTCCACTGTAAGAAACTTACGCAATCGCTCATAATATTGCGGATGCAATTCTACATCGTTATGGCCGGCGCCCTATAAAAAACGAAGTAAAGTTTTTTTATTTTATTTGTACATATATATGTGATATTTATATATAGCATATATCAAGTAAAAAAACATAATTGTACATATACCTATTACTGTAGGTCTTGCCCGTCTTTGCTGGGCTACGTTTATTGTGCTTACAATTATGTATTTGCTGCTATATGATATTTCTCTTTCGACATTGTGCTCATTATAGCCTGTACCCAAAGGGTAAAAGGCTATACTAGTTTATGCGAATGTATGTAACATACAGAAGGAGGCGTGGCAGACCCCACAAAGTATATATATTATTAGCAGGTATTGCCCGTCTTAACCCGGCTCAAGATAATGTTTCCAATTGTATTTATTTTGTATGTGTGCATGACCTACCCATATGTTTTCACCTTATAAGTTACCAGTAGGAAGATATTTAAGGTATTTAAATGAACATTTTCTGTTCTTGACAAAAAATTGTTCAGTAGTCCGTTACATTTTTGTTCTTGCCAAACTATTTCGTTAAACGAACATGACCACTATAACTAATATTTTTTAAAGCTCGTTTTCCCCCCTGTGGAGCTAGAATTTTCCAAAAGCCTTTCTTAGTGTGCTCCTACACTATGATGGATACTATGAAAGAATACTTGTGTCCAAATTTCATATTTTAACGTTTGGGCTGTGCGTTGATCACCAATTAGTCAGGACAAACTGTTTTATATATAGAGATAACGCAACGTTTTAAGATAGACTATGTGCAAAAAAGGGGAATAATTATAAGGGTATATCCTAATTTTAAATTCACATTTGAGTCTTTTCGTGCCATATTGAGTCAATACGGTCACGCACAAACTCGGAATATGAAACACGGCACTCGTGCCAATGCCGTGCAGCGATGAGCCACGATCAAAAAGCACTGACAATTCTCATCTCAATTTGCTAGAGTAAAACTTTCGATAGTTGAAGCCACCGATACCATCAAAATATCGAAGTTTGAATGCAATAAGCAGAATATTTAAATAATAAAATCTAATTATTTATTGAGATCGATAAGAACAAATCATATACATACATACATCTGTCCGCAATGCGAAGCAGAATATGCGTAGCTCCGTTATTCGGTTTCTGCTTTACTATCGCTTACGCAGTCGTTGCCTAGCGACGGTAACTGTAAACTTTTGGCGTTTTGCCTTTGCAATTAACATTAAATGGTCAAAACGAAAGAAGAAGAGCGAGCCAATGACTTGCAGTTGTTTTTAGATCATTATTTTTTTACAATCAAACAACTGTGTTCGATTGCCCAATGTATACATTAATACGAATGTACATACATGCTATATTCATACACAGGGATACATACATACTATACATACATATGTATGTTTCTCTTTACTTTTTCAACCATACGTAGAGAACCGCACACATAGACACGAACTGTTGCTTGTTGTGTGTGTGAGTGTGTGTATGTGATGTCCCCAACTATTTGATATTTGTTGTTGCTGCATAAAGTTATTAATGAAAACCCGAATGCCAAATGCACTTAACAAAGAAAAAATTACTTTTAAAAATGTTATATAATTTTCAATTAATTAACATTTCTTGCTCTGTCAGTGGAAGACGAATGAACATACATTCATACATAGATGTGTATGTAGAAGAATAACACTTAAATAAATAAATGTAAATCATTAAATGATGTTGTGTGTAAAACAAATACAAAGAGAATGTGTCATGTGATCGGCTTGCAGGCTATAATAAGAGCAGGGTTTAAGAGCAAATATTGCCTTACCCGAGCAAAGCGCATTGTTGTTGTCTAGGCAGTTGAGAAAAGGAAATGTCAAAGAACAAAAAGGAAGAGTAGAACGAGTAAGACAACGAGCCTCGAGAGAGCAGTGGCAAAGGCAACACTACAACTGCGAATTGCTGTGCTCAATAAAAAAAAAATGTCCGAACAGCGCGTCACACCGCGCGAATTATCTAACCCTTCTCCGACATCAGAAGTGGGATTGGCCTCGCCCCAAAGACATTCTGACAATGATTGGCGAACTCTGTTTGAGTCACAGAATCGTAATTTTATGGAATTGATAAAAGTTATGCAAGTGCCATATGCAGAGTCTCATAAAGAAAAAATAATTGTGTTGCCAAATTTCGACCCTGACGACACGAGCGCGGACGCGTCTGCATGGTGTAAAACAGCAGACATGATAATGTCCGAAAATCCCTTAGAAGGTAGTGCATTGGTCATCGCACTTAGCAGCTCCCTAAATGGAGGCGCATCGCAGTGGTTGTCCCAGATTTGCTATGCTGGAATAACCTGGCTTGAATTTAAGGAATTGTTTCTGCAGCGATACGAGGGTATAGAGACGCCAGCCGCCATTTTCTTAAACATTCTTAACGGCCGACCGAACGCAAACGAGTGTCTATCGGTGTATGCAAGCAGATTGGTGACGTCACTAATGACGAAATGGAAGCAAATGAGCGCAGAAGAAATAGCAGTCTCGTTCGTGCTGGCACATACCTCGCAAATTGATACGAGGCTGCAGCGTATGGCGTTTACAACGAACATCAAAACACGAAGCGAGCTCCAGCAGCAGTTGAAAGCATACGCTTTTGGTAAACGCAACGTGCAAATCACTTCGGAACACACATTTGGCCCCGAGAAGAAAAGGTACAAGTCGTCTTCTATTATGAAATGCCATTATTGTGAAAAACCTGGTCACAAAATGGCAGAATGCCGCAAGAGGAAAATGGACGAGAGAAATGCACCGAGAACAAACCAGATGCAAAGCAATTCAGCAACAGCGAGAGAGCGAGGCGCAGTGACGTGTTTTAAATGTGGCAAGACTGGCCACATTTCAACGATGTGTACACGGGGACTAGAAGCAGCGAGCAAAAGCAACATACAAGAGAAGCGAGTAGATGTCTGCACAGTAATGGAACCAACGGGACTATTGTTGCAATTTGGTGAGCTCATTCCATTCTTCTTTGACTCGGGCGCCGAGTGCTCTTTGATAAAAGAGAAAATGGCAAATAAATTTGCTGGAAAGAGAATTTTCAGTACAGTTATGCTGAAAGGCATTAGTGAAAATTCCGTGTATAGTAATTTACAAATTCATACGACTGTTCAAATATGTGAGCATACTCTGGAAATATTATTTCATGTAGTATTGGATAAGTTTTTAAGGCACAATGTAATGGTTGGTCGTGAAATTTTGAGCCTTGGCTTCGGCGTTGCCATGGACGCTGAAAAGTTCAGTATTTATAAAACAAAGGCTGTCAACATTATTTCAGATACAACAAATAGGTGCTATCTAGAACATTTAAATAATGATGAAGAATTAAGTGATGAAGACAGAAATAAATTGATAGAAATATGGCAACATTATGCTGAAAGATTTATAAGTGGCATACCAAAGAGTCGTGTAACAACAGGTGAACTAGAAATTCGTTTGATAGATCCAAACAAAATCTTGCAGAGGCGTCCATATAGACTTAGCGCAGATGAGAGAGAAATAGTGAGGAAACAAATAAAAGAGCTGTTAAAAGCTAATGTAATACGTCCGAGTTGTTCTCCGTTTGCCAGTCCGATGCTGCTAGTTAAAAAGAAAGATGGCAGTGACCGCCTATGCATTGATTATCGAGAGTTAAATGCCAATACTATAGCAGACAAATATCCACTGCCGTTGATATCGGATCAAATCAACAGACTGCGAGAAGGAAAATATTTTTCAAGTTTAGACATGGCTAGCGGATTTTACCAGGTTCCCATACATGCTGACTCAATTGAATGTACGGCATTTGTAACAGCTGAGGGTCAATACGAATTCTTATCCATGCCCTTCGGGTTAAAGAACGCCTCATCGGTATTTCAGCGAGCAATAACACGTGCCTTGGGTGAGCTGGCATACTCGTATGCCATTGTTTATATCGATGATGTTTTGATTGTAGCAGGCACTAAAGAAGAGGCATTTCATAGATTAAAGGTGGTATTGGAACTTCTGACCAACGCCGGATTTTCTTTCAATGTAAAGAAATGCACATTCCTCAAACCTAATGTTGAATATTTGGGTTATCAAGTCGAAGATGGTGAAATTAAACCTAATTCTCGGAAGATACATGCCTTGGCAGCGTTATCACAACCGCAATCAGTTACACAGCTGAGGCAATTTATAGGTTTGGCATCATACTTTCGACAATTTGTGCCACAATTTTCAGAGCAAATGAAGCCACTATATCACCTCACCTCCAAGAATGGTAGCTTCCATTGGAAGCCAGAACACGAGTGTATACGTCAAAAGATTATTACCATATTAACTAACGAGCCGGTTTTGATCATTTTTGATCCACAGTATCCCATAGAGCTGCACACTGATGCGAGCTCAGAAGGCTATGGAGCAATACTTATGCAAAAAGTAGAAGGCAAAACAAGGGTAGTCGAGTATTATAGCAAGTGCACAACCAGTACGGAACCCAAGTATCACTCGTACGAGTTGGAGACGCTAGCCGTATTTAATGCAGTTAAACATTTCCGTCATTATCTGCATGGAAAGAAATTTATAGTGTATACGGATTGTAACTCATTAAAGGCTAGTCGTTCCAAAATTGATTTAACTCCACGGGTGTATAGATGGTGGGCATATTTACAATCATTCGACTTCACAGTCGAATACAGGAAAGGGAATCGCATGTTGCATGCAGATTTTCTTTCAAGAAATCCTATCCCTGCTGAAGCAAAGACCGTCAAAAATATTACTGAGAAACGTGTAGACTTGGCTGAGCTGACTGACAATTGGCTGATTGCTGAACATCAGCGAGATCCAGATTTGTCTGTTTTAATTTCTAAATTGCACAATAATGAGCTTAATGAGGACATGGCAAGAACGTATGAAATGAGATCTGGTATACTGCATAGAAAGATTCAAAGAAATGGTAGAACGCGCTGCTTGCCAGTGGTACCAAGAGCATATAGGTGGTCCGTAATAAATCACGTACACGAAGCCATAATGCATTTAGGT